CCCTACGACACATAGCAGACCCGGATGACGCTGAGGACCCGGATACAGACCGCCCCGCCTACTTGCCATCCTATTGGCCCGTCGCCCCACCAGGCACTTCGCCATTGGGTTGCGTTGCTAGAAGGGGCGGGGCCTCCTAGCGTCTAGGCCCTCCTCCCCCTTTATGTCTCAGCAGGACCCGGCTGTAAAGGAAAGCGGGCGGGGAGGACCCGGGTGGACATAGGACCCACCCACCGCCGTGGTGAATAATGCAGGATCGGGTGGAACCTCGTGACACAGCACCACGCACCTTCCAAGCACGTGTACGCGGGGCGGGAAAGGGGCCGCTGCAGCCAGCTGGGGGGGCTGAGGGGTGTGCAGGGCTCCCATGGCACCAAGATGCAGCCAGCTCATGGGTGGTGAAGGGCCAAGTATAATGGGTGGGGTCACCCGGGGTGACAGTGCAGCCAGCTCAGGGGTGGGACAACTGGGAAAGCTAAGTAGAACAGGACTTGCAGGGTTTGTATGGCTCTGAGATGCGGCCAGCTCTGGGGTGGGGAGAACCTAGAGAGTTCAGTATAATATCCTCCTGGACAGGGCTGCCAGTGGCATTGGGATGCAGCCAGCTCTGGGATGGGATGAATTCAGGCAGCCCTGGAGAAAGGCTGAGTATAACATGAGAGGGAGTCAACCAATGCAGCCAGCTCTAAAAGGTGTGAAACCAAAAAGCCAAATATAACATACCCTTTGAATGGCACTGAGATGCAGCCATCTGTGGTACAGTGGGGGGTTGTCTGGCTCTTGAGATACAGCCAGCTGGGGGGGGCAAGAGGGAAGGACTGAGTAGAACACCTGTGGTTGGGGACAGGGGGGGAAATACAGTCATCTCTGGGGCATAGCCCAGCCCCAGACACCCTAATCCCCACTCCTACCCCAAGGCCTCCCCAGTACCCCACTGCATCTGCTCCACCACCCGACGGAGGGTAGGTGTAGCCCCACTCAGATGCCTTTGTTCCTGGCATGGATCCATGGCATGGGTGGGATCCACTGCATGCACATGGATCCCACCCATGTGCATGCAGTGCCACCTGACTGCCTAGGTGCTGTCTGTAAGTGCAGCCCCTCCCTGACACTTAGGACTTTCACCAGTGTGCAGCACCTTCTGGAGACCTGGGTTCTTCATGTGCAGCTGCTGATTCTCTGGGCCCCAAGTCCAAGGTAGGGGTGTCTCCCACTCACTTGCATCCAGGGCTGCCATCCTGTTGCAGGGTGAAGCCTCCTGCCTTTGGGGAGGGGAAAAAGAGGGAGGGGAAGGGGGAAGCCCCACCCTCCAGATGCCAGAGGAGATGAGCCAGCCTGCTCTGGGCATTACCATAACTCCTCGCCTACCACATGTTCCCCACTTGGACCCTGCACACTAAGCCTGGAAGCTCCCCATTGTGGGGCATCACAGCCAGCCATGTGCCAGAGTCATACAACGGGGCACAGAGTGGCCAGGAAGCACAGCAGTTGCTGCCCCAGGCAGTCTCTGGGAAAGCTGTAAGTGACAGTAACTCTGATCTCATCCAGGCTCTCAGCCACCCCCCACAGCTGATGGTCAGACTCCCACCTCCCATTTCTGGGCCCCCTCTAGCACCACTCCAGGTTACCAGTGTTGTCCCCAACGGACAGTGTGAGTTCGTGCCCGGTGCGCTATTGCCAATGAACACACATGGGTGGAGGATCCAACTTAATCTTTATTGTTTCCAGTCTGCGCAGAGAGGGGTGCTTGGCAATCGTTTGCAAAGCAAGCACCACTGGTTTCTACCTTTGGGTACCTTTTATACATATGTTTGCAAGTGTATCGCTCAGTGATTGGTTACAAGCCACTGACATAAGACGTTCTCTACTGAGCATGTCTCTATTCCTATGTTTTAGCCATGTAATTCATTTACATACATATATGTTTCATTAACATACTTTTGCCCTGCCCAGGGGTGTGATTTTTAGCATTATAATGAGACCTTTTTCTGAACTTCTTGCTATCTTACAGGTGACAGGGAGACATTATCCTGCTGGTGTTAGGGAGGCATTCCAAGAATCCTCCGCATCCCACACGCTGTGCTCTGCAAGCATCTCTTAACACACACATACCACACCCCTCCCAGCATCAATAAGTTGCCTTAAGTATTCAGTTAGATATAGTTTGCAAAAGCTAGATATACCATAAAAAAGATTACATCACCAGCACCCCCTGCTCCCACCCTCCCAGTCACACCTCACTCTGAAACCTAGCAACTGGGCTCCCAGTTGCAACCCCCACCCCCAGCCACACCCCTCTCTCAGAGGGACTAGGGGCTTTTTGGATCCCAGGGGGCAACAGAAGCACTGCCTGGGGGAACTAGGGTGTTCAAGGACATGAGCTCAGGGGAAGGGGGTGCAGGGCAGGAAGCAGAGAACAGAGCAGTGGATGGGCAGTGGGCATAGGACAGGGAGTAGGAAGTAGAACAGCAATTGGGGCATGGAGCAGAGACCAGAGCAGTGGGTGGGGTAGGGGGCGCAGGCAGGGTGCCAAACACAGAGTAGCACTGGGGCAGGAACTTTCTGTCTCCTGAAGTTCCCTTCTTTCTGGACATTGCATTTCCTGGAACACTTGCTCTATGGCATACAAGGTGAGGTCCCAACCCCTGGCAAGGGTGGGGAGGAGGGGAAGAGGAAGCAGAGACAGCTAAGCAGTAGCCGTATTGCCTTCTGGGGTGCAGGGAGGATGACATGTCGTATGAGACAATACAGTACATAAAGGACTGCTGAGGAGCCCAAAGCAGCTAGATTCTGTAGGATGGAGGGTGACTAACTCTTTCTCCATGCTAACCCCCTCCAAGGGAACCCAGGTCCCTAGGGTCATAGCCTCCCTGACTCTGACCCCCACACACCATGCTCCCCTCCCAGAGAACCCAGGCATCCAGGCTCCCACGCCCCTCCCCCCACCCCCCAACTCCCACAGAAGCACAGCATCTGGGCCCCCAGCCCCCTTCCTGATGTTTAGCACCCCCACAAACACAGCCAGCTGGGAGTCAGGCAGATCACACAGGTTTATTGGGAAAGAGCAGGGGGGCGCTATCAGTCCTCATCCTGAGGGGGGAACACCAGTGTCTTAGGGTCGTAGTAATTGGGGTCCAGCACAGGCAGCCCCTGTGCCTCTCGCTGCCGCACCAGCCGCTCTGCCTCACGCCGGGCCCACTCCTGCATCCTGTGGGAGGGAGGGGAAGGGGAGAAAGTCAAAAAGGATCCAGGCTCCCAGCTCCCCCTGCTTTCACCCCCCTCAACCCTCTGGCAGAGAACCCAAGCATCTGGGCTCCCACCTCTCCCTGTTCTCACTCTCTAGCTCCCACTTCTCTCCCAGATAACCCAGATGTCCTGAGTTCCCCCCCAACCCTGCTAACCCGTTATCCGGCATGTAGTGCATCAGGGTGAAGCCTATGACGATGCAGACGGAGATGCTAAAAAAGAAGACAATGCGCATGTTCCACAAGTCCATAACTGGGTCATCATCAAAGCCATGGTAATCCGGGTTCTGGGGGACAAGGGGAGAGGCAGCATCAGTGGCTGGGGGGCACCACATTCCTTCCCCCCCCACTCTGCTCAGTGCCGTCTGCATCTAGCTTTGGGGCAGGGTGGCTGAGTATAACAGGGCATGGACACTAAACACTACTTGTTTAGTGCCCAGATGCGCTGAGCTCTGGGATGGGGTGGCTAAGAGATGGCAGAGTATAATAAACCCTGGAGACTGCTTATTCGGTGTCCAAGTACATCCAGCTTTGGGCTTGGGGAAGGGAGATGCCTGCATAGAACAAAGCGTGGAGCCAGCTTGTTCGGTGTCCAGATTCACTTAACTCTGGGGTAGAGTGGCTGGGAGATGGCTGAATATAACAGGGTATGGAGTCAGCTTGTTCAGTGTCCAGATGCACCCAGCTCTGGAGTGAGTCCGACTGAGGCAGAGAGACAGGTTATTCAATAAGCACGTGCACCCAGCTCTGAGGTTGGGGGAAAGGGGGCAACTGCATTGAACAAAGCATGGAGACACCTTGTTCAGTGCCTGGATGAGTCCAGTTCTGGGCTGGGGCAGAAGGGGACAGCTTGATATAACAGGGTATAGAAAGAGGTTGTTCAGTGCCCAGATGCATCCAGCTCTGCAGTGGTGTGGCTGGAAGATGGCTGAATTTAATAGGGTATGGAGATGTCTTGTTCAATACCCAGGTGTGCCCAGCTCTGGGGTGGGGCCAAGTGGGCAGCAGAACATAACAAAGCAAAACAGTGCCTGGATGCACTCAGCTCTGGGGTGGAGTGGGGTGTCTGGGAGGCAGCTGAGTATAATAAAAACCAGATGCAGTAGCTTGCCACCAAGCACTTGGGAACTGGAGCCGAGGTGATAGAGAGAGACACCCACTGCCAGGCCCTAGGGCCCAGACACCTGGATTCTCTGAGCTTTGGGAGAACAGTGTAGGTGCAAGCAGGGGAAGCTGGGACCCTGGGCACCTGTTTTCTCAGTGAGGGGAGTGGGAGCTTGGGTATGAGAGTAGGGGGAGCCCAGAAGCCTGGGTTCCATTTCCCAGTCTGAGAGGGCAGCAGGGAGTAGGAGTTCAAACCACCACCTCCCACCCTGGGAGGTAGGTCCTGGGAGAAGAGTTGTCCCTGCTTCTTTAAGAGGTGAGGCTAAGTCTGGCTGACCTTGGCAATGCCCTCTGTCAACCCTGGACAGGGGCAGAGAGGAAAGGAACAGAACCCAGGTACCTGACATCCCACTGTTCTTATGCCCCAGCCCCTCGTAGAGCTGGAGAACCCAGGGGTTCAGGTTCCCAGACCCCCACATTTATCTTATGGGGATGTGCCAGACCAGGGAGCCCCTGGATGAGGGAGGAATTGAACCCAGTTCTCCTAGGTCCAGCTGCCCCTGCCCCCGCCCCCATTGCCCCTCCTTATTCTTTGACCCCACCCCTCCCCCATTGCCCCCAAACACTTCTCTGCCCTCCACTGCCCCTTGGCCTCTCCCCCATTGCTTTGTCTCACCTCTTTACCATTGGTCCTCCCCCAAGCCTTGGCCCCGCCTCTTCGCC